TGAACCTAACGGGTAGACCTCGGGAAGCACTCTAAGGACTTAGGATAACCAGCGGTAGTTTGCCTTGTCTTCTGCAAAACAATGTTGTTCTTTCTTCTTAGTTCGCATAAGACTTGTTTTGGGCTTATGACCCTCGGCCGGAACTATTAATGTTTTAATGTTGTATTGCGAACCCAGTATTATGTATCGAAGTATTTTTCAGTATATCGCATGTTTCAGGTGATACTTGTCTTGTCCAGACAATCCAACCGTCTAATGTGATTTGGGGTTGGAAAGCCTTTAGTCATGCTAGACAGGTAAAATACTCCCAGAATAGTCGAGACCGGGAAACTAGATTTATTCTAGTAACTTGAACCTGACCGTTCTCGAGTATAGCAGTTGCGGCAACCTCGGTCGATGGGCTTACCGCATATCAGGGGCATTACACCCATTACTATGATAAAAGCGGTGATATGATATTTTGGGTCGGTTTTACCTTCGTAAGTTGGCACCCTGATCTTTCTTGGATTGGAAACTTGCGCCTTGGTGATCCGGGTCGTGAACGGGGTATTTTGCGCTTCCTCAAGTACTCGGTCAATTTCTTGAGCTTTGCTTGTGGTTCAATGCATCTGGGATCAAACCATTTTCATGTCCTCGCCGGTCGCTCCATGTCAGCTCGCATCTCGGCCATCTACTCCTTCTGAGCTCGAAGTGCTTCTTCGCGCTTCTCTTCTAGTTGAGCCTAGATGGAGTTCTCTTCTTCTCTTCATCGCCACCTCGGTTGGTTTGAGTTGTGTTTGTGCCTGTGAGCTCAGACTCTCTGCGTGCTACGGGGTTGGCCTTGTCTTCTGGATTCTCATCATGATTGATGTCCGGTTCTGCTTCATCTACGGTTTACGCATCTTTCTCTTGTGGTCGTGCAGTCTGCTTGCCTTGGCTCAGCCTGCCAGTCTCCAAGGTCGGATGCAGTGGAAGAAAACTTCGAGTTTTGGACGCATCGTTTGACGATGAAAAATTGAGGACCATTGGATTGAGTCGCCATGTTGTTCGCATGATCATGTCGGCCTCGCCACTATGTCGTAAACTTGGGCTTGCTGGCCTTGCTGCGAACTCCGCCTCACCATCTCACTGCAAGTTTGGCCTTGTTGCTTTGTCATAGACTCGACCTCGTCGCTTCGTTGTGGACTCGACCTTGTCACCTTGCTGTAGGGTTGACC